ATCAGAGCTATGAGAAATATGTTATCAGCGAACATGATCTGTTTTCATGATGAAGGCGATGCCAAGCTTATTTATGAATGATAGTTGCTTATATATCCATTTCCCCAAATTTGAATATGATCGTAGTTGCCATTAAGAAATTAAATTGAAGGGGAAAAATATTTGTCATATACACACATGGAAAATCACAGGTCGGTCGGTTTCAGTGTAAAATAGAATCATGATGACATATCGGTTAGATCGAGATAACGAGATTCTATCATAAAACACCATACTTCAATCATCTCTTCTTAGAATCACGTTGAAAAATTTATCATTTTCATTGTAAAAAGTTGAAATTTACAGAAGGTTTATCTCGTTCATTACAACAATTGCTGTTAGTTTTTGTACCATTAAGTCAGTTTTAATAAGATAAGAATCTTTTTTCTATTCCACGGTTATTTAAAATGTTAAAAGGAGATTCTGTTCGGATAATATTTGTTTAAAGGAATCGAGGCAGATTAGTTTGTTATTGTCACATCCGTTTAACACTGTTAATACTACATAAAGATTTTCGCAACGACGATCTAATTCCTTGTCGTTGTTAGTAGAAGAAATATTTCAGGCTTTTTTCGTAACATATAGGTGTTCTTCATCAATATATTGAACCAATGCAAAGCAGTGCCACATTAAATTTAGCGATTCTTCTTTCTCTGGGACAAAAAAGTCATTTCAGCCGTGAATAATGCAAAATACATCAACAGGCTTTTAAAGTTCCCATTTTCCTTTAAAAGATGAGGGCTTGTTGTTGGGCCCAGAACAAGAGACATCGGTCTCGGTCTCGGTACATGTAGCCGACTTGTACAAGCGTCTAAACGGGAAGATAAAAAGTTTCTGACTACTAATTGCATCTCATTCAAAATAGATAACACCTACATGAACCATCTTTGGACAATCACACAGATTTGTCTGGACATTTCTCACAGCCGCCCAAATGTTCGTAGATTAAAAGGAAATATGAATATAATGATATCATTGCACGGTTGCAGGTTAAGAGGTTCATTTAGAAGATGCTTCCATAAATATGATAACCAAACCATCATCAAAATTTATCAAAATGTCTGAATTTATAATAAAATTCAAAAATTTGTTAAAATTCAAATTTTATGAATAATGTATACATACCTGACATGTTTACATATGGATTCTGTCCCTTGCGTTCAAATAACTCGCACTGTCCGGTCTTGACAAAAAGTCAAACCGGAAGTTGAGTACTACGTCATCAACTCAAGTGAAGAGTACTCAGCGTCCCTGACAACCTCAGTTTCTTCGAGGCGCGCTGAAATAGCACCTCATAAAGCGGCGCAGGCAGGGTGGGCAATTACTAACATGTCAGGTAAGGTATACATTATTCATAAAATTTGAATTTTAACAAATTTTTGAATTTTATTTCATAATAACCTACCTGACATGTTTACATATGGATTCATTCTAGATTCCCAAAGCCCTAGTATTGGAGGTGGGTTTATAATTAAACTAATAAACAATGTTTTTGTTAAAGTGAAATTAAAAAATTTGTCTTAATATAAAGTTCATACCTCCGGAAAAAACTCGCCGGGATTTAGTGACCACTTCCTTTAACATCAAACATATCTTACAAATAATAATCTCTCTAACATATATACATATATATATATATATATCTATCTACAGTGTATTTAAAGGACAAGCATCTGTATCAATATCCTGTAAATAGAATTTAACAAAAGAATTTGGTCGAGACCAATCTGCTGCTTCCATGACACTTTTCATAGAGGCACCTTTAAACAGGGCCCAAGGGCTCCAACAGCTCTAGTTGAATGCCCTCTGACGTTTAAATTTTTATTGCTATGGGCCATTTTAATCAGACAAACAATCCATCTGGATATAGTTTGAGAAGTCACAGGCGAATTGGGTTTTCTAAAACTTATGAATAACTTGGTATGATCTGCATTATTTTTACGAAAGTTTTCTGTTTTCTTTAAATAATAATACAGAGCTCTCTTGGAAACTGAAAAGGCTGGAATGAAAATCTTTGGATTGACATGTGAGGCTCTATCTTGCTTCGACAGACCCTGCCTTATGAAAGTCAAACCGCGTTTTTGAATATTTATATTGCCCTCTCTTAAGCGTAGGGATTGCAGATCACTACATCTTCGAAAAGAAGTTATAGCAAAGAGAAAAACTGTTTTAAAAGTTACCCATTTCAAAGATGAGGTCTTTATGGGTTCGAAAGGAGACTTTTTCAAACAGTCAAGTACTAAGGGAAAGTCCCATTCAGGTACTAAAGACCTCTTTGGTGGACGAGAGTTAAAAATACCCCGTAACAGTCTAATAATATTAGGATGTTGACCGACCGGATGTCCTTCTATAGGTAACAAAACAGCAGACATCATTGATCGGTATCCAGAGATTGTTTTATATGACTATTTGTCATCATAGAGATCCGAAAGAAAAGAAGCACAGTCAACTATAGATGGTGAATGCGAATCAATTTTCCGTTTAAGACACCAGCTACTGAATTTTTTAAATTTAGCGACCTAGTCTCGTCTAGTACGGGCTCTCCATGAGGCTGCCAATAGTTGCCTAGCGTTTGCTGGAAAGCCCTTTGCTGAGAAACGTCTGTTGACAACTTCCATACCTTCAATTTGAATTGACTCGGATCTGGGTGATAAATTTTTGGATGACCCTGGAATAACATGGTTCTCCACGTTGGAAGCATTACTTGAGCTTCTATCAACATTTGCAGAAGTTCTGGGAACCAAACTTGGTTCGGCCAAAACGGAGTTATCAGAAGAAGTTGACAATGAAACTGGCGCATATGCTGTAGTATTCTTGGAATCAATGCTATCGGAGGGTATGCATATCCGAACATTTTGCTCCATGAAACTGACAGGGAATCTATGGCATAAGCCTGAGGTTGACTTATCCACGAGCAAAAAATTGGACATTGTCGATTCTGATGTGTGGCAAAAAGGTCGATCGAAGGCTGACCCAAAATCTGAAAAACCTTCTGCACTAAAGTGTGGTCCAGAGTCCATTCTGTTGATGCCACCCTCCTCGAGCTTGTCTACTAAAACATTTTTCTTGGAAGTAGTGTGAGCTGTCTGCAGATTGATTTTGTTTTGAATTGCAAAGTTCCACAGTTTCCAAGTTTCTTGACACAACTGTGGCGACCTCGTTCCACCTTGCTTGTTCAAGTAATGAACAACTGTCATGTTGTCGCAACGAATCAACACCTTTTTCCCTTTCAGTACTTGTTGGAAATGAACAAGAGCGTTGTAAACTGCTCTCAACTCCAAGAAATTGATGTGATTCGTGGTCATACTCTTGGACCAAGTTCCCTGTATATATTGCCCCTGAATATGAGCTCCCCAACCCCACAAACTTGCATCTGTGGTTAGAGTCAGGTCTGATTGGACAACTTGTAAGGATCGACCCATTAAAGTGTTCGCTCTGGACAACCAGATTCGATTTTAGATCGGGCGAAAACACAATTGTATGATTCAAATCCATGGTGGATGGTTTCCACTGATGTAATAGATGCCACTGTATAGGTCTCATACGAAGCCTGGCATTTGGAATGAGATCCAAACATGATGCTATCTTGCCCAACAGAGATAGATATTCTTGGGCATTGCTTGACCCCTGTAGTATTTCCCGCACTGAAGTTTCGATCCCAGCCAGCCTTTCCTGCGTGGGAAAATGCCAAACCCTGGCTTAGACAAAGATGAGTACCTAGGTAAATTATGTCTTGGGATGGCTGCAAATTTGACGTTTCTAAATTTATTATAAACCCAAAACTGGTGAAAGTATTTAGGACTCTTTCTTGGTCCAACAGAAGACGAGATTTTGATTGATTCACTGTTAATATGTCGTCCAGATAGACTGACATCCTTATGTTGCGAAATCGCAAGTGTTCTGCCACAACTGATAGGATTTTGGTAAACACCCTTGGAGCAGATGTTGAGCCGAAGCACAGGGCACGAAATTGGTAACAAATGCCCTGAACACAAAACCGGAGGTACTTTCGATGCAGAGGATGAATCATAACATGAAGATATGCATCTTTTAAATCGATCGAAAAAACCCCAGTCTTGAGTCTGAACCATTGCAAGAACCTTTTTCAAAGTATCCATTTTGAAATGAACTTTCATTACATAATTGTTCAAAGGTTTTAGGTTTATCACAGGCTGCCTGACTTCTTTGGAACAAGAAAGAGTGTACTGTAAAAACCGGTGTGTATCTCTTTTTCTGGTACTATTTCTATAGCGTTTTTTTGAATTAAGGAAGCAATTTCTTCTAAAATCAACGTGGAATTTTTTTGACATAGAACAGTTTGTTTTATTCCAGAAAACGGGGGAATCAGGGCAAATTCCAGCTTGTAACCCTCCTGAATAGTTTTTAATACCTAAGGATCTGTTGTAATTTTCTGCCACTGTGCCAGAAAAAGAGATAAACGACCTCCCACTGGAACAGTCGGTTGACATCTTAATAAACTTACTTTGTCATTGTTTCTTAGAACTTCCAGAGTTCGAGGAAGTTGTTGTAAAGTTAGGCTTTCTGGCCCTGGCACCATCATATTTTCTGGTGTAACTGGAGGTATTGGCAAATCTGTTATACTTTCTGTCTCTTGAACCACGAAAATTATCTTTCTGGTAGTATGGCTTCTTTGCCGGTGTTGTAGCATTATAAGGAGTTTTCCTCTTTCTTAGTTTGTCTGGAAGGAGATCCTGAACTGCCTTCCTCTGTTCCTTTTTCTCCTTCAAATTCTTTTCCAACTGTGGACCAAACACTCCCTCTCCAGACAAGGGTAAGTTATAAAGACTTTTAGAATCATCAATTTCAAATAGTGAGGTATCAGTCAAAGACACAGTCTAATTAAGTGGTGAAAAGCACCCGCTCTCCCCATTTGATCCAGAGCTTTGGTGGACATTGCAAAAATGTTCTGAATCTGATCTAGAAGTACTTCCTTCTTATCTTCATGCGGGGTCTAAAATCCCTTCTTTCATTTTAGCAAAGGCTTGCTGTATATACAAGAGTATCTTAATGCCCATAAGAGCAGATTGTTGCCCCTTGAAGGCTATCTTTTCAACAGTTTTGTAGGGTTGTTGATACAAAGTTTTCTTCCCACTAAAAGGCCCATGTTTTTGAATAAGACAAGATTCAACCATAGAATCTAGTGTGGGCACTTTCAAAAAATCATTGTCCTTCTCTTCAATAGGAAACAAATCTAAATTCTCCTCTGTAAAGGCAGGAATAGATGTAGGATTTGGAGAGCGCCAAGATAAATCTAAAACTTCTCGTTGGGACTTGTCCAACTTCAAACCCCCTGTACTCCCAGTACAGTTTTTGGCCCTGGCATCGTCTCCAAAAAGACTAAAAAGGCCACATTCAACGTCCTCATCCGGCTTCACTACACTGGTAGTAGCCTGCTTCTGCGGTTCAAGAACCGGCATATCATCCTCCGATAACGATAATGTGTCGCCCTTTCCCGTCAACAACGGTACCAGGTCGTCTTCATCCTCAGATTGAGAAAACATCGAACGATCATGTTTACTTCTACCCGAACCTCTGACTTCCGGGGAGATAACTCCACCATATTTCCCCTTCACAGTGGGATTATTATTTTCAATCATTATCTTCATAAAACGATCTAGTTTAGATTTTAAAGCATCAATTCTATCGCTAGACTTCTTGCGATGACATTTTTTAGCTTTTTAACGCCTTTGTTCGACCGGCATCGATCATAATATCAATCGGTCTATTCTCAGCAGACGACGTCGCTGAATCAAAAATAGATGAACCCAATTCAGGCGTTCGCATACCTACCGAAGTAAGGTTTTCTTCCATAATAATAAGTAAAAATAAATTCCACAAAGAATTTCGAAATCACAAAACAAAAAGAAAAACGTGCGATTTCAACGCGCCGAGAAAGGAAACTGAGGTTGTCAGGGACGCTAAGTACTCTTCACTTGAGTTGATGACGTAGTACTCAACTTCCGGTTTGACTTTTTGTCAAGACCGGACGGTGCGAGTTATTTGAACGCAAGGGAGAGAATCCATATGTAAACATGTCAGGTATGTTATTATGAAATAAAATTCATAATCTGTAAAATTGTCACTCAAAAAACTCAGGTAATCGACTTTTCACTTCGTGGGCTCAAAAACAGATCTGATTATCTCCAAAAACGTGGTTGAACATATTATCGCTCTCATAAAAAATTCAATAATGGCTCTGCATCATATAAAAATTATGTGCGAAGAAGGAACCAAATATTTTCGAAAAAGGAAATAACCGTTGCTTGCATATCGTGCAAATTTAATTTTTTTTTGTAAGGTAAATGTTAACAATCTTTATTGCAAGCAGAAAATCATTTGAACTTTTTGATTTTTAGATTTTTTCTGATTTTATTGGACCAATTAAATCTAAAATTGACAGATGTGCCATTTTGGGGGGTTGATTTTAATCTTGAATATATGTAAATAATCTTCAGAAGTACTAAAAATGTACGAAAATCACATAATTCCTTTAAATATTCTACAAACTAGGAATTGTACTCACTATTTCAGAGTATCTTAAATTGACGAGTTGTCATTTTATCATTAAAACGCAGATAAAACTATATCATAATGTTGATAATTTTGAAGACACGTGGAATTAAAGGCTTAAATTTTGACGGTGAGTTATTAACACTATTACTGATTAGCTTAGTTAAAAAAATAAATCCCGTTACCAGGTTAAAATTGGCCAAGCGAATGGCAATCGTATCCCTTAAAAAGATCCAGAATTTCCCGTAAAAAGGTCCAGAATTGCCCTGATCCATTTTTATACGTACACATCTCTCGTATATTGTCGGCACCCCTGTCTGTCCGTCCGTCCGCCAACATTTGCTTGTAAACGCTCTAAAAACTAGATTTTTTGATGGAATCATATGAAATTCGGTATTTGTATACATATTCATAAAACAAAGATTAAGTTCGAATTTGAGCTAGTTTCGACCGTTAGAAGAGTTATTGCCCTTGCACCAAAATCTTGAATATTTACCATTCGCCGTTGTGGGCGTATATGGCTGTGATCCACTATCTTTAAACAATAAATTACTTAACATTGCAACAAATTTGAAATGTCTCTTTAGAACTAAAACAATTTCGTCCCATTTAAGCAAGAGAAAGAAGGTCTGACTGTAGTTTACACGTGCTGAACTTCGTATTTTAACCCCTGATTTCAGCTCACCTCAAACAAGGGTTAACATTTTCTTGTTCTAAACTGATTTCACCTCAGTGACTATATTTAACATTGAAACAGGCTAGAAACAGCACTTATGATTAAGTGAATGCAGCGACAGGAGTAAAGGGAAGTAACAAATTATAAGGGTTTAGTTTTCTGTCTTTATTTCATCATAAAAGATAAAAAAAAAGAACACTCTCGAACTAAATGTAATGTAGCTTTAAACTGGGAATACATTTACAATATATTAATATACATCGCTTAATCACTACTCCATTGACACTAAAGAGTATTTTGAATCTGATAATTACTAAATATTCATTCTTAAAAGAAACACATGACTCCTCTAACATGAAGTAAAATCTTAATTAATTGTAAAACTTGGGCTCGGGTCGCCACTCGGCGATTCAAAGTATTTTATCTGTTACAGTCTCTATAAGCAAAATGCTCACAACTAAAAAATGGACAGATTATACTTGAAACTTGAATGGTCGTAGACTTCGTCGAAAATATTTCTATTAAAAAGTAGAACACGAGCAACACATTGTCACAATACCGACCGGAGCCCCTAATAACAAAAACTGTCAGGATATGTCTTTGGAAAAAAAAGTGGACGAAGAGAGGCCATTAAATAAATTTCATTTTTGTGCCCAATTTCAGTAATATTTCGCACATGAAGATTGTAATCTGCGCTTTGTTGCGAAATGACCATAGTTAAGTCAGTCATTGTGTAGTAGAAGATTGTGATAGATTTTAATTTTGATATTGCCTTGTTTTGCATACGTTTTGCTACGTTTGAAGTGCTCCTTATAGATTTCAATTTCAGTTTAAAATCATTTTAAGAAAGTGTTGAAAATAACATAGGCATATTATAGTAATTATACATGTAAACTGTACAAGATAGAGCAAATGAAGACGACTATTATTTTTGTAAGTATTTTGATTGTTATCCATACAGGCAACATCATTTCCCTCTTTCTGAAATGAAATAAATTATATTATAGTTTGGGCTGATATAACATGATATCGTTATTAACAGACATTTTAAAGACAGTGGATCACTTCCACTTCGATATGCGGTTGGTAAAACGATATTTGTTTGTGTTTCAAAGTTTTTGTTAAATTTCCAGTAAAAAAACTGGCAAAGTGATAGCTTATTCTTCGAAGATTGATAATATGCCTACCAAAGTCCTACATAAAGTTTTATGTAAAATAGAAATTGTAGAATTTTCACTTTTCCAGATCATAAGATTAATCTATATAATTATCGATCGATTAAACAGTGATGATAATAACAATATGACTTCGGTTTTAATGGTAATATAAAATGATATCCAATATGACTAGAGTCTATATCCATAATTTTAAACATAATGTTAACATGACAAAATTACGACTTTTCACGAATAGAACTTTTGTATAGATATCTACATTAGTTTTTTTTTATCGCAAAAAAGAGTTTAAAGGCATAGTTTAGCTATTTTTGGGGATTGATTTATGTCTTGAATAAATGTAAATAGTCTTCAGAAGTCCCAGAAAAGTACGAAAGGCGTATGACGTATGATTCCTTCAAAGATATATTTTCTATATAAGGCTTAGTCTCAAGAAAAGACGAGTCGTTTTTTTAACTTTCTAACACGGATAATTCTTGACACACATGGCTCAAATTGCGAAGGTGATCTGTGAACACCATTTTACTGATTAGCTTAGCCTAATTATTCCGTTTCTTAGACTAAGATACGATTGGTCAAACGAATGGAGCACCTGTCTCTATAAGGAAGAAAAATAATTATGATGAACATGTAATTTTTAAGCATTAAATAAGAAATCTACCAACCTACTATCTTCAGTAAAACCAATAGCCAGGTAAACCAGTGGTAGAATAGGAAGGTTTGGCTGTACCGTGATTATGTTGACTGTTATCTACTGGGGACGTGAGACTTGGTGACGTTAGGGTTCCAGCTAGAAATGGATTACGGGATGTTAATAGGTTTTTATCAGATGGTTGTCTAGTTGGATACTCTTGTGTTCTTGATGTTGTGGGTGAAGGGGTGGTTATGATCTTTTCTGTTGTAGGACGATTGGTTATCTCCTGGGTGACGCGTTTTGTTGGATTCCACTTGGCAAATATTGATTGCGTTTCCCATGAATTAGTAGTCTATATAAATAAGAAATATATTGAAATAATTATTGCACGTGATATTAATATTGAAAATATTTCCCGACCTCTAGGTTGGCGGAAAATGACCTGAACAGGTTAGCTTACTGTGATCAATACCTAGACCGACAAATTTGACAGAGATATGTTGCCATGTTTAAAGTGTATGGGAAGGATGCTCTGAGATATTAAACTGTAAAACGCCGGTCAGTCCATGACAAACGCTTTGTTGACAATAATGTATTCGATATGAGAAGTATGAGAAGGATGATGTGGAAAAATAAAACAGTAAAATATTTTACTGCTACTTGTTTTATCTGGAGGGCCTAAAACTTTTTGTATTATTATTAATAAGCACTATTTGGACACTGAAAAGTCTTTTTATATTGATAAAGTGATAGGAAACACTACCTTTTCACAAACTTTGCCTTCTTGACATACACAACGATAAGCTCTGCCTCCATTGGTCAACTCTTGGCATATTTTGTTATCTGGACATGGTGATGTAGCACATGGATCTGGTTGCTGGCACAGACCAACACACGTTGTATCACAATGGGTTTTAAACGAACATAATTCACACATGGTATTTCCAGAACATGATGCTCCACATAAACCTGAAATATATCAGGGAAATCAATCTTTCAATAGGGTTGCATTACATCGTTGCTTATTGAAACGCGGGTGTAGAAACATTGCAACTATAAAAAGACCTTGTTTTGGATATTGACAGCGCCACTATAACTACAACCCGAGTTTCACCGCCATGACACCCAATCCATCCAGATCCAACTACTACCTAGTCTACAATATCAACTCCTGTTGGAAGCGGGCGTAAACTTGCCATCTACTACCACCGGATATTGGCAGCAACGATAAACAGAATGCACATGTTTTAAAAACCAATGTATATGTAATTTTTCTTTATACACATTACAGGTACTGTTCCAAAGATTTCTTATACGTTCGCATACAGATAATTGTTTTCTTGTTCGATGTTTTTTGAACGTCTATTTGGACCATAGAATATGTTTTAGACGCACCGAATACAGAAACAATTCTCTTGTTAGCATTATTATTTTCTAAATCTTAATATTCTTCGACGATTGCAGTGTGATCCTTTGCGAACATTATCCTAGAAGTATTGAACTATGTGGATCATGAAAATTTAACCGTAGATAGCATATGATTGCAAAAGGAACTTACCTGTAAACATACATCCATAACAATACTTGCACACAGCTCGACCACCTTTCTCTAGATCTGCTTTAATAGTTCCAATATTGGATGGTAATATCTGACAGTTGACATGAACAATCATTACCAATAACAGGACAATATAGTTAACGTGAGACATTATTTCGCTATCCGCGGTATATACTTTATGATGTAATGTAAATGTTACCAAAACATATAAACGACTGATTCAAATGACTGTAAACATCAACTCACAGTTACGTTGACATGTACACAACATTAAAATAGATTGTAACTGATTACTTTGTACTCTCATTAAATAATATTTAAAACCTTTCGAACAAACCCTCTTTTCTCTTATGTACGTGAAAAGACAAAGTTGTGAATTTGTGATGTCGTAATTTTAAATCCCAAGGTTAATATGAGTGACACGTTAATCAGTCTAAGTTTACAGAGGACTTGTAATAAGCCAAGTCTAGTTGTAAAATCATTCGTGTCTAGTTAGAACACGTTTCCAACTACCTCCATATTTAAATAAGAAATCCTCTCAATCAACAATTTACTTTGTTACATCTCCAGTTCGTCTGAACTTTTTAAGTATAATTTTTATTGGGTACATTTGAGAAGAGTACCTTTGTGTCCATTCGTAGTGGTAGATACTTTTAGCTAATTGATATTTCCTCTTGTATTACATGTATACGTCTCCATAAAAGATGACACTGATTGTTCTTTTGACATCAAGCCAAATGCAATAGCGACAATGCACAAGCAGCCGCAAGTTGGAAACATTTCACTGTTTTAGTATTGCATTTGAAAGCCTGTTCGAAGACATGGTTCAGGAGAGGGTTCTAGCATGTTTAATGATATGGTTTTTGCATATGAAATAAAAGAGCACTTCATGGCGCACCTTCTCAACACCCTATGCTTAAAATGATACAGAAGACAGTGTTTGACTGAAGGAAAAAAGAATTTTTCATAAGTTTCAACTTCGATTCGTCAAACCACTAGGCCACCGAGACCTAGGATTAGGAGTTTGGTGTAAGAAGGGTTAACCATGGGATAGGGTTAACTCGAGGCTAAACTCTTTTTTTTCAAAAGCAATTAGGGTTAGCTCAAGAGAGTGTTCTAGCATGTTCAAAGATATGGTTTTCGCATATGAAATGAAAGAGCACTTCGTGGCGCACCTTCACAACACAAATTGAAGATTTGTTATTGAAGAAAATGTTATCTTGGGCTTTACTGGTTCATCAAAGATTTGTACTCTGTCCGCGAATGGCACCAAAAGGGTTAAAATGTGGTCAAAAGCTATGCACAGTCTGATCCATTGTGGATAAAATTCATCTGTATGCTTAAAATGAAAGAAGAAACAGTGTTCGACTGTAGAAAAAAAGAATTTTTCAAAAAGCTTCAACTGAAATGCGAACATACGACCTCAAAGTTGATGAGCAAGAGCTAAAACCACTAGGCCACCGAGACCTGGGGTTAGGAGTTGGCTATAAGTAGGGATAACCCTGAGGTTCAAAATCAATTAGGAATTTTAGGTTGAAACATTGCGGTTGAGCTTTAATGGTCCATCAAAGATTTGTACTCTGTCCGCGAATGGATCCAAAGGGGTTAAACTGTGGTCAAAGGCAATTAGGTTTCGGGGAAGGGAGGGTTTGATTCTCCAAAATGTACAGGCCTAGGGTGGAACAGATACTATATTTAGAAATTGGGATGAAGGGTCCTGATACTGGGTTTTCTTCTGTTCCGATTCTGATCTGAAATTAGAAAAAATATCTGTTATGTACTGATTGTTTTAAGTTTACTATGAACAATATTATCATTTAAGTTCTTATCTATCATTTTCTTCTTAAAGACATGGGGAATTTCTCTTGAAGGCTCTTATAGTGGGCATGAACTATCTTGCTTGCTCGATTGCTGGTTGTATTGATTGAACGGGACAACAAAGGGTGCTATGCCTACATTATGGTGAATTTTAGTCTTGCTGTATTCAATGTCTCAATTCATTGGACCTCTCTAGATTGACGGAATTTGGTAGTTTCATCCCAACCCACGACCTCAAAGTTGACGAACAAGTGCTTTTTTTTTATCTTGTTTCATTACAAATCATATAGTTACACAATGTTGAAGTTAAATTTAAAATATGAATAAAATGAGCTAAATTCAACATGCTGTAGTACATAAGTTTTGATATAAATATTGTAAAAGTTAATAAAATATGGTAACATTACAAAATATTGCACTTAATTCAATTATGAGATATTAATAACATAAACTACTTCATCTTTGATTGGTATGTAATGATTGAAAACAAAATTAAGACGAAATTTATTTTCAAAACCTCTTAATTTATACTTGAAATACAAAAGGTTCATATGATTAACCAACATAGTTTTGAAAATTTTTTGTTGGATTCACTAATATCTTGGATTTTAGAAACAAAAGCCTTTTCTAAATAGAAAATAATCATAAGGAACTAATTATCTGTAGCTTTCTTAACAGGATACCCTAGTAGAATACATTATTAAATTCCATAAGACTAAACCCAGATTCTTGATGAAACACTTGTATCATATCAGAAAATAAAGTTATTAGATCTGAAATTGAAAGACAAACAATAAGGAAATGCTGCAATCCAATTTTACAATACGGTACAACTTGGAGTTGGTCCAGATAATGTTGTGTATCAAACGGAAATCATTGTCTATCTGTTCAGCCGATTTATCAGACAGAAATACTGAACGCCAAACGTCAAGCCACTTTAATTCAAAGCCATTAGTATCCAACAAGTTAATACAAGCAGGTGGCTTGGAGTAATGTTCTCGTAACACTATAAATTATAGAAGTCAGTCACACACAAAGAAAAGTATCAAAGAACCAACTTAAATTCAGTTTACTTTATATCTTTCAGATAATGCACCACCCCGGAGGTCCGGATGAGAAAAAACCCTCCTAAGTCAGAGCCTACGAGGCGAAGAAAAAAGTTACAAGAAGAAACCAAATTTGACAGGCTCATTTAGATACTTCAACAAATCTGGTAGAATATAAATTGCAGCCTATTAGACGCTACGCTTATATTCTTCTCTCGTATTTACATTTTTCATTATAAAAAATCTATAGACAAATACATCATGATATTTTCATCCATTAACATTCATAGAGGTTTCTCTGGTAAATTCCAAAGAGATTTCAAAACATCCAGTGTAATTTGCCTACAAGAGACTGGTATTATCTCTGATATAGAAATCTCCGACATTAAAGACTCGTCAAATTTCAACGTTTTTACATCAAACGTTCCGAACTCCTTCACCCGTGGTGTTGGAATATTCATTCACAAAGATCTTACTGGAATTAAATTACATTAAACCAGTAAGAGTCTTGAAGGCCGTTTCTTACATTTAGAATCTAAATAAAACATTCCATATATTCAATATCTATGGTCCGAATGAGTACTCGGAGAAAGGTCCTTTCTTCGATCTTATATACATTCATATAAAAAAAACATTACAGTATTAACGAGCATTTCATTATAATAGGAGATTTTAACCTTATCGAACATAAAAACGACGCTAAAACCAACAAAATAAACAATCAGCCCATACCAGCACTGGAAAAACTGGAAGATATCAGAAATAAATTTTTATTACAAGATGTATTTCGTGCAAAATTTCCACGTAAAAATGTATTTACATTCCCCAGAGACAGTTCTGGTCGGCGTATTGACAGAATCTATGCATCAATTCAAATCATAGATAAATTCATTGAAATTGATCACAGACCTCTGCAATACACCGACCATAAATATGTTCAGGCAATTTTTACAGAAGAGAATTTAAAATGGGGAAAGGGTAAATGGAAAATGAATACTTCCATTCTATCTGATGTCATATTCCAAAAACAAGTTTCAGACATCTGGCTTCATCATCAGCAAAATAGGTCTGAGCTTGATAACCAACTGGAATGGTGGGAGGGGGGGGGGGGGGAACCATTAAACATATATCTTTTCAGTATAAAAAAAACATAAGAGACACAAATTGAAAAACGAAATAACCAATATTAAACAACTTATTGAAGACAGTGAAACCAACATGAACATAGATGCTACAAATAAAAACATACTAAGTAATCATTATACAAAATTAGAATTATTAGAAGAACATCTGAACAAGGGCATACTTATACGATCTAAATTGCCCTTTGAAGATCGTTGACATAGAGAATGTCGAAATTTTTAAAAAGGCGGAAATTGATCATTCAAATTTCCGTCATATCACAAAATTAATTGATTCAAATGGGAAAATACAAACAGGGAAAAATGAAATTTTAGAAATAGTCAATAATTGTTACACTGACTTCTATACTGAAGAGGATGTCCCAGATAGCATTATTACTGATTACATCAACAGTTCAAACTTAATTCCCCTACCGACAGCAGAGAGATCACTTCTTAACAAAACATTTATAACTGACACCGAAATATTTAAAGCTTTACAAGATTTCAAAAACAATAAATCTCCAGGTATTGAAGGTATCCCCAAGGAGTTCTATGTCACCTTTTGGGAACTTCTCCAGAATGACCTTGTGGATACCATCAATAACGTATATTTATCTCAACAACTGACAGACAGTATGAGAACTTCCATTATCTCAATAAATTTTAAAAACAAAGGCTCGCGAACTGAGCTGAAGAACTACAGACCGATCTCTCTGCTGATGGTAGATTACAAGATTATAGCTAAGGTAATTGCCAACCGTAAAAAACCGTACTTAAACAACATCCTTTTAGACACGCAATCGGGAGCAGGTCAGGACAAGTCTTAACAACCTGCTCTCGATAATATCTTACGATACTCTGCCCAAAAGGATACTCAAACAGTCCTGTGTGCCTTCGACCATGAGAAGGCCCTTGGCAGGCTGAACAGGCGCTATCTGAATCATCTCCTCCTTAAACTCCAATTTCTATTCCCATTGATCAAATGGATAAACATACTATATAGTGGGCTAGTGGTGCACTGTGGGGGTGCGTCAAACAGAGGGGCGTCAAACAAGGCTGCCTCCTGTCCATGGTGCTCTACGCCCTTGCCGTCCACCCCTTGGCCCGCAACATCATGAATAACCAACAGATCACTGGAATAGATATTCCAAATTATCCACAGCAGGTCAAGTCAATCCAGCATGTTGATGACTTGACCGTTATAATAACTAGCCCAGATTCATTTGCAGCTCTTGATGAAGAACTAACATCACATTAAAATTATTAGGTATAATATTTGGCTTCAATAATCAAAATTTAAATAGGAATCCGATACTTAATAAAACCCGAAAAAGACTGAGAAAATATCTTTCCTCTCTCAACGTATATTTTGCCACAGATTTGGTATGTGGGTAGGATATTTAACCCAACAAGACCATCCTGAAAGAGCTCAACTCATGTATATTTCTAGCTAGACATACTTTGCAGCTGCCTCTAGAACAAGGTGGACAGCTGATAACCGATGTAGAACTAAAGCTTCAAAGTATGGAACTCCAACAAATAATCTGGGCTACACGAGGAAATTCACATCCTTGGATATCCCTGCTATTCTACTGGTTTGGCCCAACTCTGAGGGTGTTTGAAACCAGCAAGAGCTATCCAGTCAGAACTCTATGTACACCGGACAAATACAAAACACTACTTAAACACGTGCAACAATTAGACATTAAGTGGTAAAACATCAAATATTTGAAAGATATTACTCGAGGCTGCTTGACGATCTTGCAATCATACCGAAAGTTGCCTGGAGAAACCCCAACATCAAATTTCAGGACATTTTTTACAAATTTACACCAATCTGCACCACTTATTTGTCCGTTGTACATATCTGAAACCTCTGAGGGATAGTTTTTGCTACTTCGTCAAAAACACCATCAAGAAAATCATAGCCATTTCACCTGAATCGCGATTTCTAGCAGGGATATCCCGGGATCTATTTCCATACATGTATCATTACCTCCATACTGTATGGGACAACCGTCATCAAAATAAAAATGTCAGTGACATTGCATATGTCACAAACTGCTCGAAATAACTTCACTATTTTGAGCAGCTGTCATGACATCTCATCACATCTCATCTCATCCAATATTTTTAACTTCATCTAATAATATAATTTCATAATACATTTATAACATTAATTTTTATACATATATATCTATTTAAAATTTTTTTCTATATACATACCTGTGATAATATATATTAAATTTGCAGATACCTTTTCAATATACAATATATCCTAATAGGGTATATTTAATTACTGTTTTTTTAAACATTTATATCTTACAGTAATTAGAACATGGTAACACGATGATGATCCTCATATATGCCTATTGTTAGATTCTTAAATATTTTTTTCATTTTAATCAAAGGTATATGTGAGTGGTGGATATTACTTAGTACATATGTTAAATCTAGTATATCCACCAAACACCTGATCGTGTGGGTGGGTTAGAGGCATGAAAATTTAAAAAGAAAAAAAAAGATGATACCTGCACCTTCTAATGTAATGTAAGCAAATCAAGTATTACCTAATGTTAATTGATAATCTTATCTCGGCTTATAGCTGGATATAAATCTTGAACTATTTCTACTATACAATTATATGACAAAACCCAGGCATTCCAATATAACAAATGTCATAGATCTTAATAATACCTGCTTCAATAAAATCCTTACAAAATAGCATTTTAGAACAAATATTGAGATTATCAAATAAAGGTTGGTTAAGTACATCATTGTAATCTAATATCTCTAATGGCTCATTTCCACAAAGCAGATTCCAAGAATAAAGCATAGTTCTGTAGAAGGGAGGTAATATACTCAAATGATATTTAGATAAGGATACAAACAACAGTTCAAAAGTACAGTTCATTTCTTATAGTTCATTAAGAAATATGACATTAGATGCTTCCATATTTGATCATCTGAACACTTGAGACATTGCGAGAGCAAAACTAATCTGAAAGAAGCCATTCTTATCTTGATGACATTAACAATAAAACCACCTTCGTCAAATGAAGCACAGAGAGAGGTAACCTTAATGTTTGTTTTCCATACCAAATAATATCTCTTATGACAGAATTTAACTTTTGCAGTGCCCACTCTGGTATAGCAACAACTCGAAGCGTATACCACACAGATGAAAGACATAAAAAATTTACAACTAATTTACTGCCTTTCAGATTTAGTTCTCTCTGCTTTCACATGTTCAATGCCTTTTAAGTTTTGGCAACCTTAGGTTCCCAATTCAGAATTTGAAATCTATCTTTATATGGACCAAACTGCACGCCTAATATTTTGGTGCTGTCAGTGCTCAATTGGGATTAGGGTGAGATCGTCTATCGAATGGTCGTCTAGGTTGAAATGATTAAAAAAGGCTTGTCTTTCTTTGATGTCTGGCCTATTTGCATTAAAACGAGTTCGTAAATTATTCTTAGTTTCTCCTACATATTGTTTGGGGCATTTCTTGCATGAAATTAAATATATTACATTCGAATGTTCACATGTTAGATGTTCCTGGATTGGGTACCTTTTATTCGTAAAGTTGCTTACAAAATAATGAGTTTCTGATATAAAGGGACATGTTTTGCATCTACTGGACAAACATAGAGCACTTATTAAACCTGGAGGTACTTAGAGGTGCATAAAGTCTGTTTTTAGCTGCTATCTGTGCTAAGGAGGAATTTCGTATGTTTCGTAAAAATTGTTTAGAGTACCCACGCTCTTTCAGTTTTGAGAAAACAATCGTACAGGCTTAGTTGTAATCAGAAGATCTTGTACAAATTCGATGAAATCGTAAAACTTGTGACTTAATTATACCAGAAAAGGTATGTTTTGGGTGAAAGGAGCTCTTGTGCAAGAGTTGATGAGTATCAGTTTCTTTGAAATACACTTTAATATCCAGTTTATTTGTTTCTGCTATGGAATCTCCCTTAAAGACTGTGGTATCGAGAAAGTCTATGCTTCTGTCACTCACGTTTGCGGTTAGTTTGATAGAAGGATGGTGGTTGTTGAGAATTTCAAAGAATTCCCAAAACTGTTCGATAGAATAAGTCCAAACCATAAAAATGTCATCCAAAAAGCGTCCGTGAAAAAAGTGGGTCAAATGGACAGAGGGGCAACACCTCACGTTCCCACTCTGCCATGAAAAGGTTTGCGTACGAAGGGGCGAATCGTTTGCCCATTGCTGTCCCTGAAGTTTGTAAATATGTTTTACCATTAAATGTGAAATCGTTTCGACTAAGACAAATATCTAAAAGCTGTAGAATTGCATCGTCGGGTCTGTTTGGATCTGGGTTTCTATTTAAAGCTTTACGAACTGCCGTTAAACCAGTAGTGTTATCGATATTGGTATACATAGAAGAAACGTCGATAGAAATTAAAATAGCATTAGAGGGAACTCGAAGATTTTTTATTTATTGTCTTTAAGGTAGGCGCGATGTTGACATGCTAGAGGTAGTAAGAAATGATCAATGTATTCTGACACTGCATATGACTCACTACCACAGTCAGATATAATCGGGCGATCTTTGGGGATTTTATACGAGATAAGCCACTCCTTGGTTGGATTCTTATGGATTTTAGGCAAAGTGTACAAATGTCTCTCGCGACAATCAGATAGTCATATTGTTTCTGTTTGAGATAACTAGTTTTGACTAAATCGGCAAGAATATTGTTCATCATGTTAGCAGTTTCTTTGAAAATTGGTTTCGGTAAAATGGCATAATGTTTAGGATTATTCAGTTGATTCTCTGCTTCTGAAACGTAATCCTCCCTATTCAGAATGACACAACATGAACCTTTGTCACTCTTTTTAATAGTAATGGTATCGTCTTTCTTAAGTAAGTTTAACGCTTCACGTTCCACCCGTGTGAGATTAAGCTTTTCGTGTGTTATGGATAGGTTCGCTGTTTGACTATTCATACTCGCAAATGCTTTCAATATTTCAGGATGGATGGCGGCCTGAGGGGGTGTCCACGTGGATTTAGGAATAAACATTGTTCTAGCACCACGTGGGGGTGGTTTCGAAAAAAATATGCGCAGCTAAGATTTCGTTGAAATCGTTCAATGGATGGTCGGAGATAATTCAAGTTAGCTATCTTTGGTATGGGAATAAACTTAAGTCCACGGTCTAAGATTGAATGCTGATGGGGTGTGAGAATTTTGCGGCTCGAGTTAAGTAACTTACTTAAGAAAGACGATAACATTGTAATTAAAAAGAGTGACAAATGTTGTGTCATTCTGACAGTTTGGCCTAGCGGTGGCCTCTCAGTATTTTTATCCCCAGTAATTAGTTTAAAGACTTACTCGATGCTTGAAGCTGGTGTATCCAAAACAAACAAATGCTGTTTCTGGAGACCAATGAAGATTATCAACTGGTTCGAATTCTTTTTCGTAGGGTGGTAAGATTGTTGCGCTGTTGGTACTGAGCTCCATCATCATGTTGTTGAGGGTGCTGAGGTTCTGTTGTGCTTTCTTCGAGATTTTATTTGAAATGGGTATACATGTTAAGATGATCTTGGAGTTTGGGAAGGTTTTGTTGGCTGTTGCGATTAATTTCTGGGCTTGGTTAAAGGAGGTCTTTGGTAGCTGATCACGGTTGTTGAGGCCTACATGAAGAATAATGGTAGTAGGTTTGGGATCATGGTCGTATGATTCCAGGATTGACTGTATGTGATGGATTTGGGCACCGGGGTAAGAATGTATTTCAGCGTCTGAACTGGTTTTGGTAATTCGATTCAGGTTAGATGATCCAATAATTAAGGTAGATTTCTTTAGAGCAGGTAGCTTCCATAATGATTTTATCAATTTTAGGTACCCATGTAAGTCAATCACACATGACCTTGTCAGGGCCGAGAAAAACACCTAGTATCTTTGTGGCACCGCTAACAACATTTACAGGCAAATCAATAGCATTATCATTCACAGCAGTGCCAACCAAAAGAAGCTCAGACTTACTGATGTTGATTTTAGCACCTGAAGCTGAACAATAAACATCAAGTGTTTTAATTTATTCCAAAACAGATGACAAGTCAGAGAGGGTTAATGTGGTATCATCTGCATGTTGGTAAATGACAGATGGACAGGACGAACCCGGTATAGGTAAGCCTTTGATGCATGAATTTGACTTAATAAGAAGATTGAGTGGTTCTGCTGTCAAGACATATAAAAGTGCAGATATAGGACGGCCTTGCCTTACAGAGCGATGGATATTAAAAGGAAGAGAGATGTAACCATTTATTTTGATAGAGCTTCGAATACCATTGTACAAAGTGGAAAGATTATTACAAAACTTTTCTCCAAAGCAAAAAACTTTTAAAAGATTGAACATGTACGAGTGCGAGACTCTATCAAACGCCTTCTCCGCATCGAGTTTTAATAGATAGAGGGGAAGGTCTTCAGAATCAGCAAAATCAATCACATCTCTCATATCTCAAGCACATTATTGACAATATCGTAGCCAGGAATACAGCATGACTGTTCAGGGGATACTATTACAGACATGACTTTTTTAAGGCGGAGGGCAAGAGTTCTTGAAAAGATTTTATAGTCGACATTTAAAAAACTAATAGGACGCCAATTTTTTAGATCAGTTTTGTCACCCCTGTTTTTATAAAATAACGAAATCACGCCACGCTGCATGGATCTACTGAGTTTACCCCCTGTTTGAACTTCATTTAATACTTTAATGTACATTGGACCCAAAATATCCCAAAAATGAAGGTAGAATTCAACAGTTAGTCCATCAGACCCAGGAGACTTACCTCTTTTCATACCATGTAAAGATTTATGAAGTTCTTCTAGGGTAAATTCTAAATCGCATGCATTGACGTCATATTGGTCTAATTTTCGTGTGACAAGATTAAATAAAATACTTTGACGTTCAACATCAACAGGCTCTAAATCATAATTAATATTAAAGCTTGCTTTGGCATAATGATAATTCAAGGCAGTTTGTAGTTGCCAAAATTCATCCTTTTCACGTTTTCGCTTCTTCTTTGCATACCAAATACTGAGCTGTTTTAATTTTAAATTTCAAGTTATCCCACTATTCCAAAATTTCTGTATTATAGAGAGGACATGATACCGACTTTAAAATTAGATCTCTGATTTGATCACAATATTGACCATCACGAAGATATAAGTTTTTTGAGAATCCAGGCTACTGGACCTCTTTCATGGCGCTGGAAATTTAAAATACAAGTTACATAGCTGTGGTTACTAAGACTCGTGTGGGAAATAAAACAGTATGAGGTATACAATAAAAGGGAAACAGACATGGAAATGTAATCAATGCGTGACTGATTTAACGAACCCAACACCATTTGTCTTCTGCTGAATTCTTTTCTAGAGGGATTCTTATTTCGCCAGACATCAGATAAATTGTTTGTAACAGAAAAATCAGAGAGTAACTTTGAATCTTTACCAAATGATTCCATGTTACGAGAGAGATCAACAAAAGGATTGAAATCACCACATACAACGTACTGTGTACTGCTATCCAGATGACTATTCAAGGAATCAAAGAATTCACTACGTTCCTTCAGTGAATTGGAGGCATAAATACACACAAGATTAAAATCACGTGTCTCCAAAGACACGACACATTCAATAATCCGACCAAAGTTATCATTATAAGCAAATTGTGTTTTGTTAACAAAACGTTTTGAAACCAGGATGGCACAACCTTTGTATCCACACGAACTGTTCGAAAAATATATATGGCCATCCCATAGGTGTCCATAAGTAGTTTGAACAAACACATCACACCAATGGGTTTCTTGGATGCACAAAAAGTCTAGATTTTTCAGCTGACAATTTGCAATAACGTTTTTAAATTTTGAGTTAACAAACCATTAGCGTTTAAGGTAGCAATCTTAACCATAAGGGACACTATCAAAAAGGTGTTTATGACAAGGTATAGTAAAGACATTGTTAAGTTTTATTTTTCGAAAAATTCGTATCATTCAACAGTGCTTGCTTACTAACACGCGATTTCTTTTTCTTGGCGATCCGTTCTTGTGTACATTTTAATAATACTGACTCTGTCGGGCCTTTAATTAAAACCTTTCTCCTGAAAGGTTTCTTTTTAAGGTCACCAGATACAGATTCACCACAATCCATATCACTACCAATCGAAACCTCATCTTCACATTCAGACAAATTTGTTTCCAGAGGGTTATAAGTTACAGCAAGATTATCCACAATTGTAACAATATCATTACTTTTTGAAGCACTCTCAATTTCACCTGTGTTGATGTTTGAAACACTAACGTTTTCAAGAGTTTTACTATTTAAAACAGAAGCTTTTCCACCACTTACTAAATTTGAAACACTCACATCTGCCACAGTTTCTGTGCCAGAACCATTCACATCAAGTTTTTTGTAATTTTCAACTTTATCAACACTATTTGAAGAATTAGTAACAACAATTTCAAAAACCTCTTTCGAAGCCTCATTCCGGTTATCCCCAGCACTTTCTGAGCAGGATGTATCAGATTCGGCAGTTCGCACTACAAAGTCATTATCTGCAAAGAAATCTGTCTTTACAGAATTATGTTCACACTCCCAACACATTTGAAACATTTGAAATCTAGACTATCGGAAAGAATATGATCAGGATTAAGACATCTGAAGCACACTTTTTCCTGCTCGTCGAGTTGAATAAAATAAGAAATACCATTAAAGCTTGTAGCATAAGGAAGACTAATAACACTCTTCGGGAACTCAACTTTAACGAATCGAGTTCCATCAAATTTCTTTTTGCCCTTAAAGTCAAAAGAACGCCTCGAAATAGAAGTTACAGCCTTAACTCCCCATAATTTAAACTTCGCATATATTTCTTCATCAGGTAAATACACTGGAAGGTTCATAAACGATACGATTCTAATAAACAAATTTGGAAGCAAAACCTTCTGAACCATTAAGAATTCCGTCATCTACCAGAGTTCTAGCTACGACATTATCAACCAATGTTACGTCATGAAACACACGCTAACACGCTATCAGTTCCTAATTTATTTTTAATTAGTTCAACAATTATTAGAGCTATCTGAAAACACAACAGCAAAAATTATCGTACAAACCGGAAGTCCAACTCAAACTGGTGCTTTCAACGTGGTATGGCCGTAGACATTCTATGGGAATTTTTCAAGCGGGTCTTTCTCGCAAAACACGCCAAAATGTTTGCAAAAAGGAGTCTACAGCACTCGATGTTCCCAGGCGGTCACCCATCCAAGTACTAACCGAGCCCGACGTTGCTTAACTTCAGTGATCGGACGAGAACTGGTGCTTTCAACGTGGTATGGCCGTAGACATTCTATGGGAATTTTCCAAGCGGGTCTTTCTCGCAAAACAGGCCAAAATGTCTGCAAAAAAGGAGTCTACAGCACTCGGTGTTCCCAGGCGGTCACCCATCCAAGTACTAACCGAGACCGACGTTGCTTAACTTCAGTGATCGGACGAGAACTGGTTTTTTTTTTTTATCTTGTAAAATTTTATTCACTGACTACATATTTACATTAAAATCATAATTAAAACATCACAGATATTTGAATGTTAAAATAGTACAGGAATAATAGATAAATTATAATTATTATAAATCACATATTGCCACAAAATGAATTAATCTATATTTACATAAACATTATCACCATCCAGTTTAACATAAGGATTTGATAAAAACATGAGAGTGAACTTATGTCCAAAACCTTTCATTTGTAAATAGTACTTTAAATTTTTAATATAATTTATAAACATTCTCTTAAATAAGGTACATACATTAACTATTATACCATCTTGATTGTATAAAGTTCGCCTTCTAATAATACTAATTCTAGCTATTGAAAATACTAAAATAAGAAATACATTATTATCTTCTTTTTTAACAGGATAACCAAAAATCATCCAATATTTAAACTGATCATAAGTAAAACCAGTATTTTGAGAGAAATATTCTAACATATCTAGAATCATATCTAAAAGAGGCTTAATTGATGTACATTCAAAAATCATATG